ATGTCACTCTTTGTTTTCTCCTAAGGAAAAGAAATGCATAAACTCTACACCCACCTAGACAATCGCACCCACATACACCATGCAACCACACCCACACCTACATCCACACCCACAACCCACCAACACTCACCCACACCCTACCAACACTCACCCACACCCACATCCAATAGACATTAAACTTGTCTTGCAACGATCGCGAAACTACGTTACAGAGTAAGTAATCATCTTTGATTCTTTTTCAAGAATATAAACGTTCAGGAATTCATCGCAGACTCGACTGAAAACTGTTCGAAAGAATATACTATCCTACTAGGACTTTTTTTCCAAATGAGCATGAAAGCATATAGCGAGAAAGATGGATATTCGAGATTGTGGAAAATAGGATATTGTCAAGTTTTTGTAAGTGTTGATTGTCCGATTGCTTTTTTGTATGACAGAAACATATTTATTTTGATTTCTGCATAGATTGTCTGGTGAAACTGAATAACACTGAGCGATTAATCTCCATTATGACTAGTCTCAAACATCGTCAGTTCGATAGTGAAGACTTGAAGATTTGGTATATAGTCTATGATTAGTAAAAATGATTCTTCATCTTATTACAGTCAAATTCTGGTTTATGATGAACATATCCACTATAATCAATGCTCTACAAACATTTTCATCTCTCCTCTGAAAAGAATACAAGCGCTGGTTTGTGGCATTCGATCAATGAAGTTTTACTCGTTACAACTCCCTTCTATTTCTTTATAAATCATGAACTTAGCAATGTAAATTATGTATTGACAGCATAGAATATTGGTGATTCTATCTCCGAACTAACATATTCCCAGAAAAAATCTCTCGCTTTTTACTCTGTTTCACTAATTGCTAATATGATAGCGTTCGAAGTTTTGTCTGTGAGAAATACTTGCAGGCTAGTGTCCTGCACGGCTACGACATTTTGTACCCGAAATCTGCCCGGCAATGTGTGGGTGCGAATGTGGGTGTAAATAAATGGTAGATCCATACCCCTCACCGATTCCCACACTCACACTCATACCCTCATCGATAGTTACCGTCTTCATTTCGTTGAACATTTTTTCACATGTATATTATATGAGTCTAAAACTTTGACTTGGATGCATGATATTGAAAACTACTCTAGTCCAGTACGTGCTGCGATTATAGCATAAATATCACCAAACTTATAGTGAAATGTTTGTCGCAAGATGTGATTTGTGGTCAATATTCAATGATCTCAACCATCGTCGAAAAGAAAGTGTCTAAAGAATAGAAACGATTATACTAATATGAACAGGCTGTGTCTATTTTGTTTTCTAGAATTGCTTATTTCGATTACAACATCCTCATATCTGTTAACTTCCATACAACACGATTGTTTTAATTAATGTAACATGATCAAGTAATCAATGGCTACATTAGCATAATATGATTAAGTCAAAAAAAAGACAAATAAATCATAAGAATGGCAAAAATATTCTAAATGATATATTGGAGGGAATATAAGTTTTACGACTTATTTTTTGTTTTGTATATGACTCTCTTCAAGAACATGATAAGAGGTTAATCTTTTTTCAAAAGATACACCATTAAATGTTTTAATCAGGTCATAAAATCAGATCTTTATAGCTATTTTCGAAATTTTAATACATCACTAATACTGAACACATGTCATTGTGTTATTGCCCCATAAAGAAAAATCAAAAAGTTCATGTTGTGATTGATAACTAAAGTCATTTTTAATTATATCAATGTTAGGTAAAATAGACGGTATCAGGTACTGTAAACAAAAAAAGAACTCAGAGACATAATTTTGATGTTCAGTTTGAGACATTAAAAAGAAAAATAATTTAGAAAAGATAAAGTTGCAACATTTCCTATAAACTTCATTACACAATAGTGACTAGAAGTGGCTGTGAGTGTGGGGTGTGGGAATAAGAAGGAATGTTCGAATCTTTAATCAATGATTTGCCCACTCACACCCACACCCTAGCCACATACTCAGAATTCAAGGTCTTTAGTTTTTTTTAGATTGGCATTCAGTTCTGGGTTTTCAAAAACCCTGGAAAGAATTTCCAAGACAGCGAACCAGCCGGGATTCTTGGGTTCTCAGAAATGGGAACCCACACCGGGTTCGAGCTCCTGAGAACCCAGAAATCTATAGTGGCTTGGTATAAATTGAAATAATAGACATATTTAGAGATCCGAGGTTAATGAAAAACTTAGAGAAACAAATTTTCAAGTGGGATTCCGGGAGCAGAACTCAACACTGACACCTCTAATTCTCAATTTTTTCTGATGGTGGATTAATGTACCTGGCTATTTCGTCAGAGTTTCTGTTACTAGAATGTTTTAAAAAGAACAACTTTATTGACAGTAAGCGAAGTACATTGTTCTACAATAACTTATCGAATACTTTATTGCGTAGGTGAGAGCATCCATAAAAATCTCTCTTATGCAAGAATATAATCTTTCTGCAGAGAAGCAAAGAGAAGATATTTACATCGATCAACATTTTTTTCTCTTTAGTGTCGACATGACTAATGCATTAGCGAAACAGTCAAAAAGAAGATTAATGAAAGTATCTATACATGATTATGGTAATAGATGCAATCTGACTGGCATGTTGCAGATAAAACATTTCATGATTGCAGTGAATATTTCGTTTCGATCGTATTACATTCATTGGATGAAAAATAAAAAACTCGATCGAAATTGTATGAAGAAATAAGAACAGATCTCTTTTTGAGAATAGTATACATACAGAAGAAAATGATTTTCAGCATCGATTACGAGAAGTAATCATCAGATTCTTGCCCGATTTTTTGTTCCAAGAACAGAGTATCTGATCTAGACAATCGAACAAACATCGATAATCGTTATGCTTTCCTTCACATGTAATGATTGCATAAAAACTGATATAGTTGAAAGATCTCTGGTCGCAAAGCAACCAAAACATAAAATAGACACGATTAATTTCTTCAAGAAGATTCATAGAGAAAGGAAAAATCATGAATTTAATCGAAATTCAATCAAATAATGTATGAAAACAAAAATAAATTTAGTTTCAATGTCCGATTGTAGATACTTGATATTCAATGATTCAGAATATTTTTAAAGATGCTACCAATGAAAATAAGAGCCAATAACAAACTGATTGAACTCGAAACAACAATGCCTGAATTACATTTGTCAGTTTTACAGCATGTGATTTGGACACCTGTTCCATCGACGATAGTATCACTTTCGCAGCAATCAACTATGGCATAACGAGATATTGTATATACTTTATTAGAAACCAATGTAACAATATTCTGAAAGTTATTGAAACACAGTATTTATCGTGTTGAATAGATATCAAAACTAGCACTACTCACCTGACATGAATATCTGTCGTTTATCGACACATCTTTTATTTCTGTTTTACTGTTCACAGTGTTGCAGGTAGTACACCAGTAGCACATCAAGCCGGTGGCTAATTGTTGCAAAGCTGAAAGAAAGATGATTCAGTTGTTTGTCCTTCAATAGCTTTCTCGCATTGATGAACATCTAATGTAATATCCCTACCTAAGAAAACAATAAAACTTAAACTGATACAGCGAAGCGAGACTACCATTTGTAGAAGATGATGAATAATACAGCAACGAGTCTCGTGTTTTATTCGATTATGATTGACGCTTGTAAAAGTGCTGAGTAGCAGTTTTTTATATCCTTTTCATTTTTCTGTATAGATGTATTTCATCAAAAGAAAAAAAAATGAGAACAGAAAAATAATGTCAGCTTTCACTTTTACAGTGAAGACTCTTATTCAATATAATGGAGTGTCTTGATAATAAAACATGTCGATAAAGTGGTTTGTCATATATTGAATACCAATTTGGCATGACATTTTCTTTTTGATTTACTTTAAAAACTAAATTCTTGCCAAGTTAAATTTATTTTAGTTTTAAATTTTTTAAATTTTATCTCTGGATTGAATTAATTTTGATAAATACAAATTGATTATCTCTGTAATGGGTTTAGATGAATTAAAATCACCTAGGCACATTTACATTTTCGACTGAAGCATTTCGAAAATTAACTAATGATGTAATATCTGCAAAATTGATTAGCCATACAAGACTAGTATGGTGCCTACATTGAACAGATGAAGAACTTCGTCACAATAGTAAATAGATAAGTAATCTAAGTGAAAAATAGTTTAGGAGAAGTCAAAAACAAAATTTTATGACAAGTGGCAAATCGATCGTAAGTCTTTTATATGTGAAGGAGAATCGCAACAATGATACAAGTTCATCGCGAACATAATCATTCAAGTTTTGAAAATGAAAAGCTCTTGTGCAAAACTCGAAAATTAGGGTGTAAGTGATTAACCTTTTAGTTCAAAAATGCAGTTTTTTCTTGCAATTAAGCAAAGAAAACTTCCAAATAGTGATTTACATAACAAGTGAATATTACAAACTCTATCATTCACCTTGTAAGAAGAATATAAAAGTTATAGCACAAAGAAGCTTGCTAGTGCTGAAATATGAGACTCTCACGGTCTTTGGTCTCATTATAATGGGTAACCCAAAATAAATCCGTAAAAATGAGTGTGATATGAGCATGAGCGGAGTTCTGACGTTTACCCACACCTTCACACGCACAAGCAACCAGTTTAACAAAAACATCGATGCGTCTCGGTCAAGGATATATTGCTTCATTACAGCGTGTATATGCATGTGTTTGCCAATCATAATATTTTATTTGTTTACATGTTTGAGTCAAAGTGGACTTTTATCTGAAAACAAAGAATTGAGATACTTGTAAAAAACAAAATGTCGTTTTCTGATAGTCAAAGTATTTGAAGTTCATAATGCTGTATTATTGCTCATGTATACTAATCAACATAGTCTTATCTTTGTTCATCTGTTAAGCAAAGATACTGATGGTCAAGGAATAACTTGAAGTATATTTTCAAAAAACAAGCGAATAATTACATAAATATTTGACAATACTTATTGAAAGGAAAATTTGGATAGAAATACATCTTTTGCATCCGTAAATCGAACGGAAACTCTTTCAAGACGATTAATAAAATTTAAATCATGACTTGAATCAATATTATGTGATAATTCATGGCAAGCAACCATAAAATAAAAATTAACTACAGAACGAACAATTGAAATGGATGATGAAGTATTATGAAGATATGGTTTAAGATCATCGGCAAATACTTGTTCAAAATAACGAAGATTAAAGAATAATGCACCATGACTATTGCAAGCAATACGGGCTACAACAGAAAGAAACGATTGTGGAATTGAAATTAGTAATCTCCTATATAATTACCACTATCAATATCCCAAAATAGATGTATTGTTTGTACAGACATGTTAAAAACATCTTTTGCAAGTCCAGATAGTAACCAAGCAAGTTGTTTACCATGATCAATCATGGTATCTGTTAGAGTTACATTTTGATCAATATAAAGAGAAATTCCATGAAGAAGATGATCATACCGAATCATATTTGAAGCTGGAACAATTCACATGAATTATTACTTTCATTTCTAGAATATTCTGATTGATTAAATTCTGTTGAAGAATAAGGTCGACTTGTTCGAATCATTGCTCTAATATCAGCTTCATCAGAAGATTTATATCGTCCAAAACGATTGATACGATCTCTTTCAATCATACATGAAATATTGTGATCAGAATTATTTGGTAGAGAAGGAGAAGAATATCGATTAGGAATCAAAAAGCTAAATTAAAATAGTATTTAAGAAATCTCAATGATAATCAAGCCATTACTATAGATCTTACTCTTTCAAACTTTGAAAAAATCCTCGTTGTACTTCTTGTAATTGAAATGATTGTTCTTGATTTTGTAATGATGGTTTTGGTATACTCTTCTCAGTTTTTGTTTGTTCATTTTGCAATGTCAATTTGATTTCTATGAAAAGTATTTAATTAAGTACCATTTTTGAAGTCAAAAACATTTACAAAATCTGTGAGACTTTTTGAAAAAAACTTTCGATGCATAATGCTACGTATGGCACCATCGTTACAAAAGAACTTTCTTTCAACAATCTCTGACTAAAAGAAATAGTAACCACATATCTCTCAGAATTACTATACGAGATAATGATGGTATACTTATGGGTATGCTTGAGACTGCGTCTCTGTCGCACTCACCCACATCTAAAGCAGTCATCAGAATTTCAAGAAGGATATTTGTGGGCTTCTGAGCTTCGTCATTGTATTCCAAGATAATATTGAAATCTGTATTGAAAACTTATTAAATATGAATATTGCAACTTTGTCGAATACGATTCATTATTCATTTGTACTCTACTTTTTTTTGAGTCAGCTGATATCAACCTAATTCAAACGCACGAATTCGAAACAATGATAAAATTTTCAAATCAAGTTGGGTCGGAGAAACAAATAGTATGTATAGTCAGAAGAATTTTCAGAAGAGAATGATTTCGATCATATATAGAGTGCTAAACACATAATTAATCGAAAAAAAAATGGACCCAATGCAAAAACTAAAGAAAGCTTCTTTCCTTTTTGAAACGATTCATTAACCATTAACAATGACGCTTCAGAAATCGTCGAGCATTCAAAATAACACATTCTCGGTGTTTTTTTTCTCATTGGAATCACTATCGCCACTATTTTTCTTGGAGCCATAGCAGCAGCCATCGCCATGAGCAGTAAGTATTAAAAATACCACGTTAAAAGGAAACTATATTGAATTCAGTTTATGAAATTCTCAATATAATCGTAGATATATTTATATTGTTGACTGGAAATCAACCTTTACTTGATATTTCACAATCATGATCATCGAAAGTCGGGAAACTGTTTCTGTGCGCGTAGCCGTCATGGATTTATGAAAGCAGCATGGACCCCCATATAGATAGAATCGATTTGACACTAAATAGACTGTTGCCATTAGTAACTCGTGTTTATGATTGCTTAAATATACAAGCACTGATCGTGTATGACAAATATTTGTGGTCATTCATAACATAATTCGACATAAAACGGATTCTAAGATCCAATGAATTCATCATCGATTTATTGAGAGTGGTTATTCTCAGTACAGACTGACAACTGCTCTCTATCATTCTAAGATTGATTGACTGCAATGAAATTCTGACGGGTTCGTTTGAAATGCTAAGTAGATCCTTTGTCGTACTGTCACATAACTAATTTTTAGTTTGAAAGTTGAAATTTTGTTGTAAGGTGTGTATGCGGGTACGAGTCGGCCGCGGGTACCTAGTGCTTATCCTTCGACCACTTCTCTTGACTTGGCCGATGGCTAATACCAACCCAGATCATCACCCATGCTTCTCACTCCAACACATCTTAACTGACACCCACAAATGGCATCCGCACCTAATTAAATTGGTGGTAAAATTAAATGAGTGAGAATATTTCTTGAACAGCTAACCAATATAGATAGTTCTGCGCTTTCAGTCATTAGAAAGGCCATGATCTGAAAGAAAGAAAAGTAAGTGATCGTTATTGTGTAACTATTACATCTGCAGAATAATTGCCTGTTTTCGACAGATATTTATATATATATCCACAGAGAGAGAAACAAAGAGATGGTCATGAGTCTCGTCTCGGTTGATCTGATTTGAGTCAGTTGATCATGACGTTTTCCAAACTATTATCGGATCCAAAATAAAAGGCAGGTCATTACTTTTCGAATAACTTTTGATAGGAACGAGATAGAAAGCTGCGGTTTTCACCATTTGAAAGAGCAGAAGCTGGGCACCAATTCCATACAAGAACCAAGCAATTGGTATCACATAAGGGTACCTTTAAGCAGTTGGACCTTTTCCAGACTGCGCAATTCTCATAATTCCCATTACACATTTCTTGTTCAATAGTGAGTTCGATAGCCCTGATCATGCTCTATAAAACTATGCAAAGCGCAGATCTCTCTTATTTATTGTTTGGACAGGACATCAATTTTACTGGAAGCAACTGTATCACATTTTAAAAGTTCTCATTTCTTCTTGGAACGCGGAAAGTATATAGAAAATAGTTTATTGTCTACGTCGCACATCTCAGAACAATTAACTCTATCCCTAAAAGAATGTTCCTGATTGAGCCCCTGAAATGAGTCTACAAATCAGAATAGGGTAAATCCGTGGGGTTTCTACCACTTTTGTGGAAAAAGTTTTTTTTTTCGATTTTGATATTCTAGTTAGACGTATCATAGTCGAAAACGGTCGGAAGTAATAATAAAAATCTTTTTCGGTATATAAATTTGGGAGATGCATTTCAATTTTTAGGAACAACTCAATGTATCTATCGTTGGATAATCTATGGGACTCAATCATGTTGTGTATTGATGAAATTTTCAGCGTTTGTAGAGCGTTTAATTCCGAGCATTTCGATTAAAAAAAAATTCCAAAAAGTTTTTGTATTGTTGAAAATAGACTCAAAACACTATAAGTAATGGAGCAAACTATTACAAACAATTGGTTAAAATTGTGCAAAAATCATTTTTTCAGAGTTTTTAGTTTTTTACTACTTATAGTGTTTTGAGTCTATTTTCAACAATACAAAAGCTTTTTGGAAATTTTTTTTAATCAAAATGCTTGGAATTAAACGCTCTACAAACGCTGAAAATTACATCACTACACAACATGATTGAGATCCCATAGATTATCCAACGATAGATACATTGAGTTGTTCCTAAAAATTGACCTGCATCTCCCAACTTTATATATCGAAAAAGATTTTTATTATTACTTCCAACCGTTTTCGACGATGATACGTTTAACTAGAATATCAAAATCGAAAAAAAAAACTTTTTTCACAAAGTGGTAGAAACCCCACGGATTTACCCATGTCTTTTTTTCCCGCAGAGAGACGACCCGTATGATCTATTTTTTATTCACTTCGCATACAATTTTATATTTCATTTCAATCCGAATTTAAAAGAAAAAGCTGTTAGCATAATTCCTGTGAGGTTAAAATGTGAGAGCGTTGAGTAGGAGTATCAGGGTTCCACGTTCCTTGAAGTTCCGTTCTCAAGAGACCTTCAAGGAAAACTACGATTGGTGTAGGTATTGGTGTAGGTGGGTGGGGTAGGGCTGTAAAGTTATCGTTATTTTTATTTGCTTTAATAACAAAAAAAAATAACAAATAACTTTTTTTCTGAAGAATCTTGAATTCGCATCGCTGTCTATCTCATCTATAGCAATTCTATTGGAGTATGTTTAAGGAATGAATTTATTGCGGCTATGACAACAATCGATCTGGAAATTTGAGAATTTGCAGATCATATACAAGGTGAGCCAAAAGTTTAGGCTAAGTATATTAGGTGATACTAATCAGAGATGTGACATCTAGTACATCCCTAGTCTCAACCTTGTTAATTCCTAGAGAAAACTTGGAAGGGTTTGTCAGGATTTTGAATCTCGAGAATCTTGTCAAATTTTCTTCAAGATCCTGACTCTATTCCTGATAACTCCTGCTTCTTGGATTTCTCACGGTTATACAGGATCCTGTTCAGAATTTGTGCACGTTCCTGACCAGACTTGTTTGCAGATCATGAATACGAGATCCTTCAAGATTTTAATCATGGTTCAGCTAAGGTTCCTTACAGAAATAATAGGTAGGTCTTTCTCAAGATTTGATCAAGTTTTAGATAAGATTCGATACACATCTTAGTAGATTCATATTATCGATGTGATCGACTAACGGTGATTTATCAATTCTATTTGACGTACTGTTAGAAGAGCAGGATTCATTTTTACTCATGGAACATTTGGAATCTTCATAATCTGTGTGAGATATCGGCTGATATTGTCCACCTCTTCAAAAAAACAACAGTCAATATCTATTTGTGCAATCATCGATATTACAAATATCTATGACTAAACAACATCTAGATACCGGTCAACGGCGACTCTTCACGATGCGGACGATGAATCATCACGTTGTTTGAATCATTGATATTCAAAAGTGAAAACAATAAAGAGAAAAAAAGCAACAACAGTAGAATATATGTTTTTTAGAGAAAAAAAGATAGTTCGATAGTAATTGCAATGTTTCCATGACACAACAATTCTATCTATGGTTGTTACTGCCACATATTGAGTAATTCATCAATAGGTGCTGGGCGACGAGAGTGCATGATATGTTCTTTCACGTGAATATACGAGCCTCGGTTCAATGTGTCACGTGTTATCACTCGTGAGACGGCTTTTTGAGTTTTCGACAAGACAATATTCCAATTACCTTCGAATGTTTTGATATCATCACGATGTACGGCTGATACAACCAACGATTTGGCATCGCTACGACCTGGAAAAATCATTATAAACTCGAGATTTTTCTTTCTTTCTATTACAAGAAATTATACTTACAGCGTGTGCATGAATCACGTGGTGACAGATAATAATCAAGATTGAAATATAATTGAGTTACTAAGGTTGGATAACCTTGAGCAGTAACCTTGAAATGAATGTGAGCCGGACGGTAGCCACCGTCATCGTAACCTTCGAATTAGAATATCTCATATATCTAATGATTCTAAATAAGCTACACTTACGGCCAGGAAATAGAGTAGTAATACGAAATTTGCCATTAGAATCCGTTGCAACGACAGCTCGACACCACCAATCACTAGTATTCTGACCACCAGAATACACACCATTGTAATTAGCCTAGAGTAATACACATAAATCGAATTATGTTTTTCAATTCGACAAGAATCTTTACCTGCCATAAATCCAATTTCACATTAGGAATACCACGTCTACATTCCGATTCGTAATCGAGCACTTGTCCAGTTAAAACCAATCGATCATATGCCGGTGAATTGACGCAAAGTTGTCTTCTAGATGTAGGTGCACCAGGAAGATAGTAGGGTCCAAGAATATCAGAATCAGTCAATTGACAAGTTTGTTGAGCAGTAACATACATTATCATGAACAAAACAGCAAGGCTGCTGGCAAGCATTTTTAGTGCTATATTTTTTTTTGTCTAAAATAAAGTTTATGGACTGGTTACTCTATTTCTTTCTGTCAATTCGATTTCTTTAAATACTATTCGATGCATGGACATAGGCATGACGAAAAAAAAACTAAATGCGTTATTATTGTGAGATGCGAGAAAAATAAGGTTCGACTGCCATATTGAAATTATGTGAAGATAAACAAAAACACCTAGATATACAGCTGTTCTTTGTTACTCTCATACCTATCGACCTTGGACTGTGATTCTGTATTGTCTTTTTTCTCAATCGTGATGATAGGAAAAAAAAGACAGAATAATATTATCATACTCAGGCAATACTAAAAGGAATGGCATTTTGACGAAAAAAAGCAATTGAAGCAAGCTAATCTGACTTTTGTTCTATGTAATAGTTGAGATATTCATTTTTCTTACGCCCTACCGATTCGGCGTATATATATATCATTTCTCTTTTTCTCTCGTTGCCACTGAAAGGTCCACCAAATGAAAAATCAAGAATATTAAGAAAAATATTGAAAATTAATTTAATTTAATTAAATTAGAAAAAGAAAAGGTTAACAGAATTAATCGATGCACCATTTAGTATGGCTGCAATCAACATCGAATCAATATGCCGCCAAAAAGAGGCGAAAGTGTTCGCAGACGTAGAAAAAATATACAAAAACGAAACCAAGTCTTGAAGTTTCATCACTGATAGTTGAAACTAAAGTCGTTACCTAAGTTAAATTAAATCGTTTCATAAAAAATTATCTAACATATTTTAAAATCTCAAATATACAACATAATATACCAAACTCATTCAAATTATATTCAAATGATATGAAATCTTTCAATCGATTACTCAAATAAAGGACAATCAACGTGCTGTTGTTTGTATTCCGCATTCTATTGAAAGAATATTGAAAAATAACAAAGAAGCGTTGGTCAAGAAGATCGATCAAGAATTAAGTGATGATGATATTAAAGAATCACTAAATAATCAAGAGTTTAAATATCAAAAAATCACATGTCTGTTGAATAGCGAAAACAAGCCTCTCAAAACAGCAAATATGGGCAGGGGGGAAGGTAGAGTAGATCTGAAATAATAGACAACAAACCAACACTAATCCAAAAATAACAACAACAGAACATCAAATAGCGCAAAATCTAACATGAAAATGGTAACCGATTAATAACACCTATCAACGAAACTAACAGAAAATAGTTAGAGAATAGGATACCAAAAAGATTTTGATTAAAATAATACATTTTTGTTGTAATTCTGCTCTCTTTATTGTTACACTTGAAAGTGCTTGTAATGGATACCGTAAGCAAACACAGCTGCTCGATTAAGAGAATCATGGGCAATATAAACATACAAGAAAGCACAATATATTTCAAGAATACCATGTTTGCTAGATAAATGTGATGAAACAGAGTAAATAACAGGAAAAAAAAAGAAAAAGAAAAGAAGAAAAACGGAAATGATAGATCATGAAACGAGTATAGAAAAGAGAGAACACTTAAATAATAACATGATAGATTTCACATACATAAAAATTCAAGCCAGTGAAGAAGCAGTGATCGATGCCATTCACGCTTATATCTAACTCGTTTCATTCGAAAAACTTGACTCGAGTGGTCATTTTTTCTCTTATGAGAGGGTGTGGGTGTGAGTGTCTTGTTGAAAACGAGAGCAATATCCACATTCACATCCTCAAGAATCAAATTTCATCATTTTCACTTTGAAGGTTACTTTGGAAGGTAATGGTCATTTTTACGTTCCCATTTGAGTAGACACATTCATTTTAGAACCATGGAAGCATCCTTTTTCTTCTCATTCGATGGAAGCCAATCAAATCAAAAGCCACCGCGATAGAAAAATATATGGAAAATCTTTCAAGGCTTTCCTCATCCAGAATGATTTTTGTCTAGTTATTTTTATTCTTACATTGTGTATGAGCATTTTCTCCGATTTTCATTTAGAACATATCTTTATACTAAGAAAATCTGTAAAGACCATCATTGCATGCTTCATCGGTCGGCATTAATAAAAGTATCGATTATAATATATGTGTAGGTATTGTCATGCGTGATATTATCAAAAATTTTATCTGATTGAGAAAAATATTTTTTTCATTAAGTTCAATGATTTCTTCGTTAAGAAAACCATAGAAATGTTTAAAAAGATTCAATTGAATTCGACCTCACCATTCTTCATATAAAAGATGATCAATGAGCCAATGAAGTGAAATACAACTAGCATATACATACTAAGATAAGGGCAAGCATCACTATCATGTTCACATTAGCTCAGTCATATGAATGCCATAATTAGAATAAATAAGCATTAATAATGCATCCATATCGCATTGAATAACACTATTAAAGACGAAATTCTTTTCTTACTTAGTCGTGTCGGGAGATAATATGCATATATAATTAAGTGCATTCAACTGTTGTTATTAGACTAAGAACAAAATATTCAAGTCCCAATCGACTAAAATAAGCGGATCAACGATAAATCAATCTATCGCATCTTTATAAGTTTCGATGATAAATCTAATAGGCATTTTGTCACAAATTCTATATTATCGCATAAAGATCCATATGAAGCTTATTGATTATGTGTCGATCATGACAATAAATCTCATCGATCATTTGTGTCATATTCTTCATTGGATCAATGCAAAAGAATTACCTTGTCTATTATTAACTGAACTCAAACAAAAGATATCCATCTCATAATCAATCTTGCTCAACTAGATTCATATTTAATCAAAATACCAAAACAGAAATATAAGAGTGAACTAGCAATATTTCAGTTTTAGTCTATTCAACTGTTTCAATATTGTACCCCAGCACTCTCTATCATTTTTATTTTTACATTCCTTTATTTAAAAAAACCAAGAGCTGAATTCGATAAAGAATAATTTTCTCCATCTATATGTATTAAACCTATATATAGATCCTTTCAAAAATTAAAAGACCAATCAAGGAGTATTTGCTATTGTTTCTCTTATAATACTATGATTTCTCGACGAAGCGTTCATACTAGACGGTCATTCTTAATGTTTCCAATCATTTTCATATCGTCAGAAAAATTAAGTGCACTCTGTACACTTTGTCGAAGCAATATATGTTTCTATAGCAGAACTTAAAATTGAAAATGGACGTGTAGTATTAAATTAAATATACAGTTTTGATGATAGTAGATTGTGACCTCTTTTAATCAGGGTGTAGGTGTCGGCATAGATCTTAATCTTCTCTTCCTCCACACCCACACCCCACCCATCTCAATTGAGACTGAAGCCCACAAAATAATTCTATAAAAACGGATCATTTTTTTTTCTTCACATAAATTTAGTTGGCTTTGGAATACGCTAAAAATATTCAAAAGATGTTTTCAGAAATAAATTTATCATAGGAATAAAGTCTTAGAAAACCTATGATTTTATCGATTTAGAAAAGAGTTTACACAATCCATTCAGATTACAGTATATAAATAAAAATAATTTTAATGTTTTCTCAAGATTTGTTTTTGTTAGTATCACATCGGCGAGTCTGCTCGAAAATCCAAGGAAAATAATTCTACATCACATGTCATCGATTATAATATTTAGATTATAATTTCATTAGTATTTACAACAAACAAATACACTTCAATATCATAATTACAGAAGAAGAAGAATGTAGTGAAATGTTCCTTTAATTAAAAAAATCACTTGTCTGACATCTCTGCTTATCTATCAAGAAATAGTATAAACGATCAGTAAAAAACTTCTGTTTTTAATTTCATTAATCATTTGATGGTTCTACGTCCCTAAAATGAACAAAATATACCGAAAATATTTAATGAATAGTAAAAACAATTATACATATACTAGCTATTAGATTTTTGACCCATGACTCAACATTCCCATGTTCTCCTTATTAAAAAAGTTATGGTGAAAATTTATCCTCATTCTAAAAAAATAAGCAAAACATTCATTCCAATAAACATGTTTTTAATATTATATTTGAACGATGTTTCATATGAGAAGATTAGAAAAAAGAAACGTTATTGAAAAGTCATTTGCAATATATCCATAGTATTCTTTTACTATTGCTATGAGAAATTGGAATTAAATAGAAAATACTTATTATTTCTCTATCATTATGTTCGATTTATAGAAACCGAATTACTAAATTTCAATATTTTCTAGACCGATTATGACAAATTCAACGAATGTCGATCATGAATTAGCAATAAGAATTGGTCAATTACATATGAATATTAAAAAAAAGTGTAAAACTGAACTTGAAAATCAAATGGATGCTATTCGTGCTGAAGAAAAACGGAAGGATGAAGAAGGTAAAACCAGCATGCATTAAGGTCAACTTATTCAACGATTTCTTTATCCTTTAGCATTAGCTGCACTTAAAGCAGCAGCAACAGCAGCACAGCAGCAAGTAGAAAAGAAAATGAATGAAATGAAAAGAAAATATGGTTCCGAATAATAAAAAAGACATTTATCTCATGTTTAGAAAAAAGCATTTGGTGTCATTAAATACTCGAAAACGGAATGCTCAATTGTTTTTTGGATTCCTCTTTAAAAAAGATTTACTTAAATAAAAAAAATCTTTTCAAAAGCTCGAAGATATCATATTTTGCATAGAACTATTTGTTCTATCACATGTGTATAGATATGGATTCTTTGGTAATGAGCAAGAATTTTTAAAATATTGTGAGAATATGTTTTCTTCAGATTCGTCTTCGAAATAATTTTCTCTATTGAAATTTCTATTTCGAGTTTATGTTAGTAATGATTATGAAAAGAAAATGAAATTAAATCTGTATGATTAATTTTTGAGTATCTATGAGACAAAAGAAATGTAATTGTATTATACATCAATCTCTGCGTATTGATGATACAAAAACAATTAAATAAATAAAATTTCAATTAATAAATATTTATTATCAATTAACTTAATTCGAAAGCAATCGAAAAATTTTTCACATTTCGATATTTGTTTTGAATTATTATTTGATGATAATTATGTACAAAATGTTTCAATAGATATTAAAAATTTGTTATTAAATCTATTAAATAAGCGATCAAATATAATTTCATAACGTTGGCTATTTTATTTGTTTTTTTGTAGTGTGAGATATATTCGATAATTTATATGTACAATATTTATGTTCATTGATTATGATGATTCAACTGTTTTTTTTTCTCTTCATTAAATAAATCAATATTATTGTTTATTAATAATTGAAGATGAAGGAAAGAATAATACTTAGATTGACGGACTAGATGAAGATGAGAGCTAATTCGCTCCTAGTACAATTCATTGCATGACAATTCGTTGTAATGACATAATTTAATCATAGTTTATGGTACTTATCAACAATGAAGTGACTTCTTGTCCGAATAAAAAGCTAGTTTATTCGAGCTATACAAGTGATGAAAGTTTTCCTATATCAATGAAGGCGACACAGTACTTTTCTTTTAATTCGCACTGCACCTCAAGGCTTTTGATAATTGAAAAATACTTCAAAAGAACAAGCAAAGTTTAGCGTTCATTGAAGAAAAGTACCTTTGATGTCACCAGAAAGAAAGAAATAACAACTTTTGATGAATTCATGTTTTCAAAACCTCCAATTCAATGTACACATTCTTTTAGTTAAAAGACTATAACCTGTTCTTTATATATTTAAAACTAAACCAGTCGGATTCAGTCGACGATTTACACAATGCTACAAAGAGGTTTGATAATACTTTGTGACCGAAGATGTTTTACATCTTATTGAAATTAATCATGAAGTAATAAATCCCGAGATAAAAAGTAATCGAAGTTTAGTCATTATTAATATTTCCCGATAATTTTAGTAATCATTTGATTACATATATCAAACTTAATAGAATAAATCACTTCATTGTTGAAAAGCATACATAAACTATGATTGAATAATGTTACTGCAATGAATCATCCTGCGACAAATTGTCCGGTCACCTGCATGTATAGTGCCGGCATCATCCTGATGAATTGCTGCCGACATATTCGAAAAAAATCATCTATGTGAAATGCTTTGAGTCAAAAAGAAAACATTGCCGGTTTCGCATAACTGATTGATGCAAGGGGGAAAAAGCGGATCCTGGTGGATCCTGGGATCCATTAGGATCCGCCAGGATCCATAGGATCCACCAGGATCCATTAGGATCCATCAGGATCCAGTAGGATCCACTAGGATCCATTAGGATCCACTAGGATCCATTAGGATC